CCATCATCCATATATCTATCATCCATCATCCCCCCATCATTTAGCATCTGATTACTGTTTTGTAAACATATTTTAATGTCATAAATATATACTTTATAGATATAAAAAATTCTCCACTGATAGCCAAACTAGTTGTTTAATTTGATGCAATATTTTTTATTTGCTTTTGTTTTCCAAATATAATATAATATAATATAATATAATATAATATAATATAATATAATATAATTTGTCAGTCATGCTTAAATGAAATGGGTCAGAAAATCATGGCATAGTTTATTAATAACTATTTGCATGATGTTATCTAAATAATCATATTTTCAAAAATGCATATTATTGCTTAAAATCAGCATAAATCTGTTCATTGAAAAAAAAACACTTACATTTATTTGGGTAAAAAAAAAGTTTGATTAAAATATAGCTGTGGAACAAGCCATATTTAGTTCAAATAAATGATGATAATTATAATAACTGATGAGAAACAGTGTTATTAGCTACTAATTACTGTACATCTTTAAGTGTAATTAGATTACTAATAATTATGCTCTCTGAAAAGGTATTCATCATTACTAATTACTTTATGAATCCCATATCAACCTTGACCAGTTACAAGGATAAACATGAAACTGCTTAAAGGAAAAAGGTTACATTTAAAAAAAAAATCATTTTAATATTACACGTTAAATGTTTATTTTTCAAATCCACTATTGCTTTATTCAGTATTTAATGCAGTTGCACCAGAGGTAATTGTAATTAAAAAATGTAATCCTTTAATTAAATTAAATTAATGTAATTAACTTATAAATAATTAGCAACACCCAACATTGACGATAAATAAATAAAACTGGTTATTGTGCATTTAAAACACATTTAGTTTATTAGTTTTATGCATTATTAGTGACAAATATGCATCACATAGTTATGGAAATTTTATATACAATTCAAATACATAAATTGTAAAATTCAGGCTTAAATGTTTCAGGAAAAGATAATTTATCAATGTAATGACAACAAAAACCCAGCAATAAATATAAATCTTGCTTGTGTGTGTTGACACGGAGTTAACAAGACTTCAAATACATGTCATGACTCACAACAATATTCAGTGAAATGATTTACGTCTGAGTGGCATGTTTGTTGTCTTGACCCTTCATAACATCATATGTCACGCACAGGAGTCCCTCTCGCTTCACAGACCGCAGGCGTGAGGTGTGCGGGACATGTCCTGATGTGGGTCTTTGATGCAGAGCTCAGTCATTAGCGTGTGTGTTGGGATTAGCCACTTCCGGAGGCCTTTGAGATTTATTACTCATACTTCGAGTGGACTTGTTAAATCAATTTCCTCTTAGCCTTCCGTTGTGGCTCTTCTCATCAAATCAGATTAGATTGTGTTACTGACCGCTGACAGATCTGTGAATGAAGGCTTTAGGAGAGAGGTTTGAAGGGAAGTTTATCATCAGTTTATCACAGTGTCCATCCCCCATAAATAGCCCTAATACACTCTAAAAAAAATGCTGGGTTGTTTTAACCCAACTTTGGGTCAAATATGGACGAATTCAAACATTAGGTTAAAAATGTAACCCAATGGCTGGGTTTGTCCATATTTGACCCAAAATTGGGTTAAAACAACCCAGCATTTTTTAGAGTGTACTAAAGTAATGAAATGCATATGAAAATTGTTCAACTGGCATTTTCAGTTTGGCGGGGTTTCCAGAGATAAAAACTTAATATGACTGATCTTTCTCACGAGACGTAAGAAAATTAAGTCAAGGTTATATTATATTAATATTATTATTACACTCTAAACAATGCTGGGTTGTCTTAACCCAAATTTGGGTCAGATATGGACAAACCCAAATGTTGGGTTAAAATGTAATTTAAAATTTTAACCCAACTTCAACTTTCACTTTCAACTGTAAATGACATACCCAGCATTTGGGTTTGTCCATATTTGACCCAAATTTGGGTTGAAACAACCCAGTATTTTTTACAGTGGTGAGTCATTAATGACATCATTTTAATTTTAGGGTGAACTAACCCTTTAACAAAATATGTCTTCTGACTTGGCATGGTGACCAAATTGCGACGCAAAGCTATTTTTTGTAGCAGGAAAAGCTTCACGGTGTTTATTCCAAAGTCATGCTTTCCTCTTTTTTTCCACGAACCCCAATCTGTTAGCTGTGAATTTCCTGGCACAACGCTTCTGTGTCAATTAGACACATTTCGTGATCTGGCAGCGTCTACGTCCACTCAATTAAACCCTTTTTTTGTTGGATCTGCTTCAGTTTCGACTCAATCGATCGCAGCTCTTTCTGCTGCTGGTGTGTATCTGCGTCCACTCAGTAACGTCATACTATGCAAGTAAAAAAAGCTGTGTATGATGTACATGAGACCGAAACGATAGGCTTTTGTGTTCGCTGACATTTGTAAAGCGTCAGTGAGATGAATGTGGCTCTTTATGTCGCGGGACCAGGTGCGGGGCCTTTCACACTTGAACTTCTCTACATTAGAGTCCCCCGATACTGTCCCCCTGCATGTCCCTTTCTCCTCTTTGTGTTCCTGTGCTTCTCCAACGTGAGTGAAATTTAGTGGAGAAAAGAAAGGGAGGGAAAAGTAGGGCAATAACAGCACTTAAAAGGCTAGTTTGGTTTGAGTGAAGAGTGTTATCATCAATATAATGAGCAGAACTAGTACAATATTTGTTTAATGGAACCAGGATGATAGTTTATCCCACAATTAAAAGAAAAATAAATAAGAAGGTCAGGTGCCCTATTTTGCATAAAGAACACAAAGCCAGTTTTCAAAGTCAATTAAGCACATTTCTATGGAAGTGTATTGCATTCACTTGAAGAAAAAAAAATGTAGGTACTCTGTTTTTCTGAATTAACAAGTTCATTATCTCAGAATTCCGAGTTAATTTTTCATGTAAAAAAATGTTTTTGCTCTGTTTTTTTTTTTTAATTAACGAGTTAATTTTTCATGGAAAAAACGTTTTTGCTCTGTTTTTCTGAATTAATGAGTTACTCATGTTTTAGATAATCAAGTCATTAATTCAGAAAAACAGAGCAAAACTTTTTTTTTCATTGAAAAATGATCTCGAAATAATTAACTCGTTCGTAATTCTGAGATAATTAAGTTGTTAATTCAGAAAAACAGAGCAAACTTTTTTCCATCAAAAATTATCTCGTAATTCTGAGAAAATTAACTCGTTAATTCAGAAAAACGGAGCGAAAACTTTTTTCTATGAAAAATTGTCTCGTAATTCTGAGACAATTAACTCGTTAAGTCAGAAAAACAGAGCGAAAACTTTTTCCCGTGAAAAATTGTCTTGTAATTCTGAGATAATTAACTCGTTAATTCAGAAAAACAGAGCGAAAACTTTTTTCCATGAAAAATTATCTCGTAATTCTGAGATAATTAACTTGTTAATTCAGAAAAACGGAGCAAACTTTTTTCCATCAAAAATTATCTCGTAATTCTGAGATAATTAACTTGTTAATTCAGAAAAACAGGGCAAACTTTTTTCCATCAAAAATGATCTCGTAATTCTGAGAAAATTAACTCGTTAATTCAGAAAAACAGAGCGAAAACTTTTTTCCATGAAAAATTGTCTCGTAATTCTGAGATAATTAACTCGTTAATTCAGAAAAACAGAGCAAAAACGTTTTTCCATGAAAAATCATCTCGAGATAATTAACTCGTTAAGTCAGAAAAACAGAGCAAAAACTTTTTTTACATGAAAAATTATCTCGTAATTCTGAGATAATGAACTTGTTTATTCAGAAAAACAGTGAATGCAATATACGCTTCCGTATATTTCCCTCTAAATTCTCATTACTGTAATGTGACTGGCTCTTTAGTTTTTAATTTATTTGTAATCTAAATAAAATTCAGTGCACTGAAAAAAAAAAATTGGTGTAATATTTACTTTGAAACAATTTTCACTCAGAGATGTTATGAAAAATTAGGCTACAAAGAAACGGCAAGAGTTTCACTTCAAACCCTTAAGGGGTTCCAATTAATTCCCTTTTTATTTTGATTACATTTCATTAATTAAACAGCCCATAGATATACTTTATCACTGGTAAAAAACTGAAATAACCCATTAAACATTGGAAGCATTATGCCATCATTTCTCCTTATATATAACCATTTGCCATAACAATGAGTCTATAATCTCATTAAACCTTTTTTTTTCTAATGAGGCACACTGAAATAGTATTTTCTTGCGAATTTACTCCACAGTGAATTTTCTTTTTTTACAGTATACAGCAAATGCTACCAAGATGCATTACTGTACAATTACTTAATATTTTTGCTTAATATTTTAATACAAGTTTAGTGTGTTCTTCGTTTTGCCATACAATCTGTTTTTATATTTGTATGTGTAGTATTGCTGTAAAACTGTTACCTCTTAATTTTGTTCTGGTTATTTGAATGCATTATTTTTGTTCGAGTTTGTCCTCTTGACTTCAGGCGAACTCGAAACCAATTACAGGCTTGCTTATTTTTCAAGGCAGACCAGCATATCCATGCAATAGCATTAAAACCTTACACAAATAAACCAGAAGACACCCGAGAAGCTCTTGTTTGCCTCTCTAATGGTTCCACTTTCTTCTGTACGAAAGCAAAGAGTGTTTCACTTACAGCTTACGTGACTTTTGCTTTGTATTTGGACACATGGAAGTACTTCCACAGGAGAAAGTGAAGTGTTTGTGAGGTCTCGCAGTACACGTTGCTTTCTGTGAATGTGTGGAGGGCAGTTTAAAATCCCTCGGCCGTCTGAATGGAGAAGCCCAGCGTCAGACGGGCCCTGTTTTGTTTAGTATCGTGTTCGTTGATGGGATGCTTTGACCTTGTTAACTGTTCCATGAAATGTGCCTTTGGAAGCGTGTAAACCTTCTCCAACAGGAAAACCACTGTTAGACAACAGATCATTCTTTGTGTGTAAAATGGCAACGCTAGAGTCCGATAATCTCTCTTTTCATCTGAATCCTCAGCTGTGAGCAAACAAAGCTTGCTTGAAGATAGTGAAGACGTGAAGTCAACGCAGCGGAGACGTGATTGGCTGGAGCTTCGTCTCTCGCGTTCAGTTCCTGTTCATCTCTGAGTGAGGGAAAAGAGACTCATCCAAAGTAGGGAACAGACTTCAAGACTTCATTCATTTATTGCTGAAAAGCCTGGGGTCAGCATGTGTATAGATTTTTTAAAGATATTAATACTTTTATTCAGCAAGGGTGCATTAAATTGATCAAAAGTGACAGTAAAGACATTTATAATATTACAAAAGATTCTATTTTAAATAAATGCTGTTCTTTTGAACTGTTCATTTCCACACAACTGTTTCACTAATAATAAATAGAAATGTTTCTTGAGCATCAGATCATCATATTAGAGTGATGTCTGAAGGATCATGTGAGTAATGATGCTGGAAATTCAGCTTTGATCACAGGAGTAAATTACAGTTAGAAAACTGTTATTTTGCATTGTAATATTATTTCACAATATTACAGATTTTTCTGTATTTTTTTTATTCACAAAAAAGCAGCCTTAACTGAATATAAAAGTCTTACTGACGGCCATAAACTTCTGATCATTAGTTTAGTAAAATATCTGTTAATTTTTAACATGTAAAGTCTGTTAAAATTGAGTTGTATGGCTTTTAGTTTGTTTTGTGCTCATCTATGCTAGTGCACAGCTAAAAGTTGGCAAAATAGACTATGTCTGCATTTATAATAGAAGCTTGTGTCTGCCACAGAATGAAAAATAAAAAAAGGTAATTGCGACTTTTTTTCTCACAATTGCAAGATATGAAAGTCGCAATTGCGTGTTATAAAGTCAGAATTGATTGATATAGTCGCAATTGCGTGTTGTAAAGTCAAAATTGCATGTTATAAAGTCAGAATCGATTGATATAAAGTCGCAATTGCGAGATATAAAGTCAGAATTGATTGCTATAAAGTTGCAATTGCGTGTTATAAAGTCAGAATTGATTGATATAAAGTCAGATTTGCGAGATATAAAGTCAGAATCAATTGATATTAAAGTCGCAATTGTGTGTTATAAAGTCAGAATTAATTGATATAAAATTGCAATTGTGCTATAAAGTCAGAACTTTATAATATAAAGTCTTTCCCATATAAAGTCAGAATTGCGAGATATAGTTAGAATTGCAAGATATGGTCAGAATTGATTGATATAAAGTCAGAATTGTGAGATATAAAGTCAGAATTGCGAGATATAAAGTCAGAATTGATTGATATTAAGTCAAGATATAAAGTCAGAACTGCGAGATATAAAGTCAGAATTGCGAAATATAAAGTCAGAATTGCGAGATATAGTCAGAATTGCGAAATATAAAGTCAGAATTGCGAAATATAAAGTCAGAATTGCGAAATATAAAGTCAGAATTGTGAGATATAAAGTCAGAATTGCGAGATATAGTCAGAATTGCGAAATATAAAGTCAGAATTGCGAAATATAAAGTCAGAATTGTGAGATATAAAGTCAGAATTGCGAGATATAGTCAGAATTGCGAAATATAAAGTCAGAATTGTGAGATATAGTCAGAATTGCGAGATATAAAGTCAGAATTGCAAAATATAGTCAGAATTGATTGATATTAAGTCAGAATTGCGAGATAAAAAGTCAGAATTGCGAGATATAGTCAGAATTGCGAAATATAAAGTCAGAATTGCAAAATATAGTCAGAATTTATTGATATTAAGTCAGAATTGCGAGATATAAAGTCAGAATTGCGAGATATAGTCAGAATTGCGAAATATAAAGTCAGAATTGTGAGATATAGTCAGAATTGCGAGATATAAAGTCAGAATTGCAAAATATAGTCAGAATTGATTGATATTAAGTCAGAATTGCGAGATAAAAAGTCAGAATTGCGAGATATAGTCAGAATTGCGAAATATAAAGTCAGAATTGCAAAATATAGTCAGAATTTATTGATATAAAGTCAGAATTGCGAGATATAAAGTCAGAATTGATTGATATAAAGTCGTAAATTGCGTGTTATAATGTCAGAATTGTTAGATGTAAAGTCAGAATTGATTGATATAGTCGTAAATTGCGTGTTATAAAGTCAGAATTGTTAGATGTAAAGTCAGAATTGATTGATATAAAGTCAGAATTGCGTGTTATAAAGTCAGAATTGTGAGACGTAAACTCGCAATTGTGAGAAAAAAAGTCATAATTGTGAGATAAAAAGTCATAATTGTGAGATTAAGAGTCTCAATTGCGACTCAATCAAATGCAAGTGATCATGTTCATGGCTTTGATGCAAAGTAAAGCCTATTAGCGGATAAGGCCTTAACTTTTGTCAATTTCGTGATGTTCTAATTCATTCCTACAAGAGGCCTTGTGAATTACACTGCATGTCCAATAGTGTCCTGATCCTGATCCAGCTGAACCTAAATGTAGCATTCCAATATCGTGCATTACAGTCTTGTGTTGAAGTCATGAAGCTATAATCACATGGTATCGAATGGAAAGTGTTGTGCGTCGTCTGTAAGGACAGCGTTTGTTAGTGTGGCTCATTGGTTGATAAACAAACAGTCTGATTAACCAACAAGATGTTCGTGTAAAGAAAAAGCCCATGGACTTGCATTGAATGTATCAGACCCAGATAGCCATATAGCGTCTTCGGGTCCTCGTGTCATGTCATTCGACTTGGTTTTGCCACCACACACTCAAAGGCACAATAAAAGCAGTCTGAGCTGCACAGTAATAGATGTCACATGTGTTACGCCGAAGATCGTGAACTGTTAGTAAACCACGCGAGCGTTCCAGCGGATCCAGCTGCTGAAGCCAGTGAGCGATCCTCAAAGTCATTTATTAGCGCATGTGGGATTCATTATCAAGGAATTTGTTAAATGGAAATGGAAACCGGTAGCATGTTGAATATGCGAATCCAGCGGGGTACACCGCTGTTCCTCTAGTTTACATCACCCGCTCTGTGTGTTTTGGCTTCCATGTGTGTTCGCCTGACCTTTGTTGGCGTAACGCATCCTGATACTCCAGGCTGAGTGTGTGTGTGATGTGGCTTTGGCTTCTGCATTTACTTAGCCCCATGATGTTGCAGACCTGTTTGTTTTTCTTTCTTCTGTGGAAAACAAATGGAGAAAGAATGAACACTGCTCTTTTCCATGCTAATGATGGGGATGTGTGCTGTCAAGCTCCAAAAAACACCCTAAAACGCTTCATGCAGCGAGTCTTCTGAAGTGTGTGTGTGTGGAGGACAGATGTAATTCTGCATTCACTGGAAGTCCCACAGTAATAGACATTGACTCGATATATTGTGCAAACTATTCCTTTAAAATCTTGTTATATTTCCACACAGTCCAATAAAATTAGAAATTCATTTCTTTCTTAAATATGTCAGAGGTGTCCAATATTTCTTCATTGCATTATTTTTTTATTTTTTATGGACATAACAATAACATTGGACGAACCAGATGCATTGTTTAAAGTGTAATAGCACGTGCTAATTTTCAACACCTGTCCATAGGGGCTTTTAGTACAGATAAAAACACATTATTAAACAAAACAAAAATCAATTAGACATGGACAAAAATCAGTTATTAATATTCAATTATAGTTGTTTTTTTATTTAAATTTAGTTCAGGTTTTAGTCATTTGTTCTGTGTTTTATTTCAGTTTTAGTAGCTTAAACTTATTTTATTTCAGTTAGTTTCTCAGGCAACTTTTCACATTTTTATTTAGTATTTCATATAATATTTCTATTTTAATAGACCTTTTCACAGACTGGTGATGCATTTTCACATTTTATTAAAGCTATCAATGTTTTTTCTTTTTTTTAAATAATGTAAATTCATAACATTATACTTTACTTTGACCTTAAATTACAGAATACTAGTTAATGATTACTAATCTCAATATTTATTTCCTCCTTTGAAAAAGTCACTGTAAAAAAATATTTTCAAGATTTGTTACCACAACATATTTTCTTTTGTCAAATCAACTTTATAATAATTTATTTAGTTGAGATAACTTATCATTTTGAGTTTCTGATGATTAAATTAATCTCCTTCATTGTATTAACTCATTTTTTCCAGTTCAATCAACTTAAAATTTTAAGGCAACCAGGTTACTTACTTTTTTTAAGTTAAACCAACAATATTTGTGAACACAACATTTTTTCTTTTGTCAAATCAACTTAAATAATTTATTTAGTTCAGATAACATATCATTTTGAGTTTCTGATAATTAAATCATTCTCCTTCATTGTATTAACTTACTTTTTTAAGTTAAACCAACAATATTTTTTTACAGTGCACTGATTTTTTGATTTGCTTCTGGATCAAATTGGAATGCAAAAATGATATTTAATTAAATGTATATTTGTTTTTATAGATCTGTTTACCACTATAACTATGACGTTTCTGAGAAACCTGTAAATGTGAAGAGTTAATTAATGAAAAGTTTATTAACAGGTTCAGATTTAGTTAATATAACATCACTGTAAAACAATATTGTTGGTTTAACTTGAAAAATTAAGTAACTAAGTTAATTGAACTGGAAAAAGTGAGTTAATACAATGAAGGAGAGTGATTTAATCATCAGAAACTCAAAATAATAAGTTATCTGAACTAAATAAATGATTTAAGTTGATTTGACTAAAGAAAAAATGTTGTGATAACAAATCTTGAAAATATTTTTTACAGTGATAATTGAGATGAATGTCATGTCATCAGAAAGCCACATTGCAATGCACATTAGATGATTTAGAGCGAAGCGGTGCTCAGGAAAATGGTTGCTACAAAATGCATGGTGTAAAAATGTGCCGGGCCGTTCCTCCTCGGAGTTGGCAGAGGGTTTTGTTTGTCTGGCAGCAGATCCAGGTCTGTGTAATCGGACAGAGCTCGACACCTGCGCTGGAAATGCACAGCTTTACGTAAGAAAACCAGTCATGCTGTTGATCTGAGGCTGTGTCGGAGCTCGCTGCAGGTGCACGTCTGTCTGTCTGAAGAGGTCACACACACACGCAGTACAGGAGGAAGGATAGACTCTTATATCAGTATACGGCATTATTTGGATAGAATAACTTGTGTGGTTTGAGTTAAAGAGACTTCACATTGCACAGACAGTCGACAGTCACTAGATTACTGCACGTCACTTATTATCAGACATTATAATTCCGA